ACTTTACTGAGCTATCTCCAGACTCCTCCTCCTTTTTGAAATCGTATCTTACTATGTAGCCCATACAGGCCTCAAACTCAGTGATCCTTTTCCCTCAGCCTCCCAAGCACTGGGATAACAGGTGTTATGCATCACATCCAAATTATTTCTGAATTTCTAAAGCCCTCAAGAGCATTCCTCTTTGCCAGGACACAGTACAGACTGGATTTTGCTTACCTTGGATTTCCCTTTCCACTAGCTGGGACAGATCTATACGGTTCATCTCCTCCAAGATCTGGATGGTCACTCTCTCTACCCAACCACTGGGACAGTAGTCAGTGAGAATTTCTGCCAGCTGCCTCGCATCAGCCAGTTTCATTGTCAGCTGTGGAATCTGCTGAAGTTCATCTGGCAGGGTGTATGCCATCAGTACGCACTTGAACTGGTCTAACTCTTCCTCATCGAGCATTTCCAGCAAGCCCTTCAGGTTGAAATCCAGTGGATCAGAATACGCCATCCTGATCCACCTGTGAGACCTGAGCGTCCAGCTCTGTAGAATTAAGGGAAGAAATGGGAAAACAGTGAGTCAGCAGGCCTATCTCAAATACTAGTCATCTTTGTGCCACACTGGGACAGTAGTCAGTGAGAATTTCTGCCAGCTGCCTCGCATCAGCCAGTTTCATTGTCAGCTGTGGAATCTGCTGAAGTTCATCTGGCAGGGTGTATGCCATCAGTACGCACTTGAACTGGTCTAACTCTTCCTCATCGAGCATTTCCAGCAAGCCCTTCAGGTTGAAATCCAGCGGATCAGAATACGCCATCCTGATCCACCTGTGAGACCTGAGTGTCCAGCTCTGTAGAATTAAGGGAAGAAATGGGAAAACAGTGAGCCAGCAGGCCTATCTCAAATACTAGTCATCTTTGTGCCATGAAAGGCTATCAGCACAATGAATTCTGAGAATCCTTTGAGAACAAACTCCCAATAGTAAAGTTCATAGGTCTGTTTTTTGGCTTGACAGTAGTACAGTCAGTTAAGACATCTGTTCTTTGGCTAATCTGAGAGTCCTGGCCTCTTTGAACACACACAAGGCTCTGAAGGCATGTGAGAAGTCTACACTGCCACACCTCCTGTACCTAGGAGATCACTGATTACTCCAAGTTTAATGTACAAATGAGCTGTTGAAACCTGTATTAGTCTCTATAACAACCTGATGTGTATTTACCTTAATGGGCTTTGGAGTAAGGTAGAGGTTTGGATCTGTAAAAGTTGTGAATGTGTGAGTATGCTAATGTTTACAGATAAACCACTTGGGGAAGGAAACAAATTGAAATAGAGGGCATTATATAATTAACATGCTCACATGTTCTCAAAGAGCCCATGACTCTCAAGACGAACCCTCTACATCAGGCCAAGGAGCAGTGCCAATTAGGATCTTGGGTTGAAAATATCTTGACATTCAGTTGAGTGTCAAGCTGTTTCCAGTTATCTTTGACCCAGGAGAGGGGTAATGCTTACAGACAACATGCCTGGATGGTCAACTCTGCCATTTAGAGCAGAGAATGGCTATGCTTTTATCGGCTATGGTAACGAGTTTAGGGTGTGTATACTTATGTCGAAGCTCATTAAGTTATGTCCATTATATAGCCATGTATGTTTTAATTTGATTTATTTCATTTACCCTCAGTTCTGAGGCACAACATGTATGTTGTGCCGTGTGATTTAATATAAACAACGAAATGACTATTACATGACATTAATGTTTTTCAGGTGGCAAGAGCATTTAAAATAGATCATTTGAGAGATGTCTCCATGGTTAAGAACACTGGTTGTTCTTGCAGAAGACCTGGGTTTGAATCCCAGCACCCACATGGAAGCTAACAACTGTCCATAACTCCAGTCCCAGGGGATCCAACAGCCTCTTCTGACCTCTGAGGGCATTGCACGACACGGGGGCACTTACCTACATGCAGGCAATACACGAATACACATAAAATAAAAATATTAAAAACAGATCATTTAAACAAATTTCAAGTACATCTCGTGAGACATTAGGGTCCCCCTCTGCCTCCCAAGTGCTGGGATTAAAGGTGTGGCCCACCATGCCTGACGCTCATTTTAGTTTCAAATAAATGTTACTAACTACACACTGGGGCTAGTATCATTTTCGGGTGAGGAGGGGGAAGAACGCACTGAAATAAGGCTTGGGGTGCTGCTCTGTGGTAGAGTGCTTTTCTAGAGGTCAAGAGACTGAGGTAAGAGAAAATGACATCTTTGGATTGGGCAGTACATGAAGGTCTTTAGAAAAGATACAGAAATGAAGCTAAACATACAAAAAGTTGCTGGGTCTGACGGTGCAGGCTTGTAATCCCAGCTATTTGGGTGGCTGAGGCAGGAAGATTCTAAGTTCAAGGTCAGCCTATGCAAATAAAGGACACAGAGTCTCAAACTATAAAGTGGAGCTGAGGAACTGAAAAAAAAAAACCAGCTGGGATATGGCTACATAGAGTGCTTGCCTGGCATGTGGGAATCTCCAGTTTTTTAAAAAGGGATTCAACAGAATTTAAAAATTTAAAGTAGCAGTTCACATAACTGAAAAAACATTTCTGCAAGGCCATGATACAGAACGTTAATAACTGCCAGGCCCACACCTTTTAGCGCACACTTTTAATTCCAGCACTCAGGAGGCAGAGGCAGGTGAATCTCAGTGAGTTCGAGACCAGCTTGGTCTCCATAGTGAGTTCCAGGCCAGCTGGGGTTATAGGGAAACTCTCAGAACAAAAGGGTTAATAACTGACTCCTTACATAAATTTGGTAGATAAAATGTTTTATATAATTACAAAAAACAACCAAGCTAGCATTAGGGAATCATTCTGGGGTGGAGGGCTCCATTTCACTTGCCACTTAGACTACTCAAAGCTGTGGCTGCTCTGCCCAGATGGGTCAGCTACATACACATTAAATGGAAAGTTATTGCCTTGAGGTTGCTTAAATGAAACTCAGCATGTTTAGGGAAGAACTGAAAATGGCTGATGGACGGAGCCTGGTCTCAGAACACAGGTGAGTGGCTTGGACTTCAGAGAGGGGAAAACATAGTTCTAGGAGATGTGAATCACGTGTTGACAGATTACTGCATAAGATTTAAATCCTGAGTCTGAACTAGAATTATATTAAGAGAGACCATCTTCTCTACGAATAAAAGCCAATGCCCTCTGTTAAAGGGAGTCTTTTAGCTATACATGGTGGGAAGACTGCCATGAGTCTGAGGCCAGCTGGGTGAACTACAGTGTGAGACCCTGCCTCAAAAAATAAAAGGCCTAGAACAAAGCCATTTTCAAAAGCTCTACACAGAGCTGGGCTGCAGCACCTGGTCTGTTCTGGCTTCTCAGGTTTTTGTATCTCCCCATGTCTTATAAATCCCCCAAGAGACTAGAACAGCCTACAGACACCAGTCTCATCCCATAACCAACACCAGCTCTCTGCCTCTGAGCCTCAGAGCTATTGACTTTATTATAGATTCGTGTTCCAGCAGAGAAAAAGCTATTGCA